GTTTTTGTGTATTTTTTAAATATTAAAGTCTTAAACAATCTGTTTTAAAATGTTGTTATCGTTTTATGCAATACTCGTATATGAAAAAAAGATATTTAAAAAATAAACAGAGTTTAGACCCTCCCTTCGTTTTAAAGCGCGCTGCTTACTCCCCTACCCCAATTTTGCCCCCCCCCCCGGCATCCCAAACGTGAATAAAGCCTTGTACCATGTAAATAAGTAATTGTTGTAATACGTTAAAACACCATGTGTAATACAGCTTTTTTTCATTTCTGCAATGGTAATCAAATCTTTAAGAGGTAAAGCTGTTTGTCATTTTATTGTACCACTGACATCATTTTACTTGAATTACAAGAGTGACAGTAATAAAAGAGGATTTGATGATATGAAATTTTGTTTACACCGGGCTACATGCTAATGTTTGATAAAAACGAATTAGTGGTCATGACATGTCCTTAACGTGTCTTTATGGAGATAAGCCGGCTCTGCTGAAAGAATTTGTCAATGAAATTTAAATAGGTTAAAATATCGATCTCTTAAGATCTTTGTGATAACAATCTGATGGTCTCAATACATCAGACAGTAATCTGAATGTCCAATAATGACGCATTGTTTATTTATCTTATTGCTGCTTACTATTCGTCAAATACATCTCCAGTAAAACATTTGTGAAAACAGACATGTATGTATTGTCAATTAAATGATTTTCATCGTAACATACTACGATTTAAATTTGTATTTTAATTGAACTGACATAAATTATAAGTTTAACGCATATAGTAAATTTGTCTTAAAATAACACGAAATAAATTTCAATTCCATTTTCGTTGGTTAACGGAACATATAAATTCACTTAAATAAATACACAAATCTTCCGCATACATGTGTTTATATTTTACGTAAATTATTGAAATATGTCAGCGACGAGATATACATCTTGTTATTTTATAAGTAAAGAGGTAACCTGACACGTTATCTATCATTATCTAGCTGGTTTAATAATGCCATTAAAATTTGACATACATCAACGCCTTGTCGCAATAACGTAATTATATATTTGTGACTTGGTATGTGGAAAAAAGTGTAAAGTTTTCATTGTGTGTAATATGCAATACACTATTTAGTAATGTATAGTTTTGAAAAAAGAAATAACACATTTACAAAAATGTTGAAAATGAATACATTTTTCGTAAGCGTATTTTTAAGGTATACGTACATTGTATATAATGAACGATCATTTATCACTACGCACTTAGTTTTGAAAATTCATGGTGTTTTTAAAGGAAAGTGTTGTAGTGTATAAATACATATACAACAAATAAGTAGCATAGTTTAAACTGTATCTGAGACAGAAATACTTTAAATTGAGAGAATAATTACATGCGTAATTTAAATTCTGCAGAAATAAATGTATGCTCGTTTTACATCTAATTTACAAACGTCAAACTTGTTGAAAATAGATGACCGGAGTTGTGACAATATAAAAACTGAACTATAATATAAACTTAAAGTGGAAAACTAAATGATGATGAATTTCATTTTATAATAAAGACAGTAATCGGTATGAAAAGCACGTTCTTAGAACAAATTATACATATGCCATACAGTTGGCAGGTGGAACCTAATAACGCTAAGAATACGTACGTACGTACGTACGTACATACATACATACATACATACAACCATTCATTCATTCATTCATTCATTCATTCATTTATGCATACATCAAAGTAGTAATTAAAGCGAAATATTCACGAATTCATGTACTTTATATTCGTTACATTTATTAAACCTTAAAACTAATAATTTAATTTATGATCCTATCTAACTGTTGAATAGAATCAATGAAAACTAGGCACACTATTTGAAGAGTACTTAACGTTTTTATTATCAAGATATCATTTTCATTTCGTCTAAAACCATAGACGTATGAATGAAAAGTAACAAACTACAGGCACGCAGGTTGAAGTAAAACAGAACTTATTACCGGATGAGCTTAGTTAAACATCATTCCTTTTTATAGCCAGTATCATTAACATGTTTGTAAACATCATCAAAATTGTATAAAAAAGGGTCGTTAGCCAACACGTGCATAGCTTTATAATTAAATTATGCAATAGAAATTATATAATGCTTATATTATATCTCTCTATGTGTTCTTTTGTGGGAAAGGCATTAGTTGTAAGAATATTTGAAAACTTTGTAAAATCGATGATGGTTTTACATGTATTAACAATTTTAACAATTTACAGTTTCTTTCATCTGTCTGGACAGATTATATGTTTAGGTTCCAATGTAAATTGACACACAAAATAACATTTATTCGATTTTGAATCTTTTCATAGTTCTTTTTTAAATTTAACTGCTGAAGCTTTTGTGGTAAAAAATATCCTGGCTTCAAACTGATATTGATTTTGTAAACATAAGTCAAATAATATCACGACATAAGTTAATTTGCGATTTGCAGAATTAAAAATTAAAAAAATCAATATGATTAAAATATTCAGAATATATTGATATTATTTAACTAAACATGCTCAGGAAAATATTGTATTACTTAAAATACGGTGATGCCCTTAAACGCTATATGTTTAGATCAATACAACAACATTGCACACCAATCAACTAAATTAATATTAATTGCACGATGAAAGCGCGGTATTCTTGTTACAAAAAGCGATGATACAATTTCAGGTCGAAACACAGAGCGGAAACGTCAGCTTAACAAACGCGGTTTAATCTACAACATCAAAAGGTCATTTTACTTCATTGATTGTGAATTGTTATGAGTGGGAATCGATGTGAAATATGAATATTTATACAGAAGCTTGTTTTTGCTGCTACCCGCTTAAATATGCTGACATGCTTGATAAATAAAGTGTCGGTTTGAAGGACGCTATCGTCTACTATCTTGATATCATATCTGAAGAATGCGTTCTGTAAATAGTAAGGGTATATTAAGACAATGTAGGGGACATGGGCGAGTAATCCGTGTAAACATTGCTGGGGGTCTTTAAAGTGGTTCGTTTACGTAAGCGCGACCAACCAATCAAATCTGAGTACTATAATTAAAGAGTATGACTCTTCATTTTCTTTATATTGCAAAGAGGAAAACAAAACAGCAGCATTAAGAATAAACATGGCACGCGAACTAAAATAACGCGCACGCGCACAGTTATAGCAGTTATCTTAAATCACGTACAGCCAAAAATAGCACTAAGGGTGCTTTAAATTCATCAAATATGTGTGCAATACTTATTCAGCAAGACTTAGATAAATGAAGATAGTAAAATATAAACAATTTTTTAAACATTATAGGTCATTAACACACTCGTCCAGCATTGAAGGGAGGTTTACCGTTTTAAGTCATTGACTGTTCTTTTGATCTTAGCGTGGCAAAAGGAAGGCTAAAGTGAGCAAAAAACTATTCATCATAAGGAGATACATTTATCATATATACATGCTTAAGATATTTGAATACATCTGTCTCATATTTCATGTTTGAGATATAGCTTTGCGAAAAATGAAGTGAACATATATTTGTTACTTGATAATATTTAAAACACACACAGATATTAATCATTTTTAGTCGCTAAATAGTGAGTAAGATGTTAAATTTACAGTCTGTTACATTTCATTACAAAACCTTTTCTCAAACTACTGGTAAAGGATTTATTTTAAATTACCTTAAGCGGTTTTCTGTGCTTAAATCTATATGCTAACAGCGAGGGGTAAATATATTCAAATATCGTTCTTATACATGTACATATATATTTCACTTTTAGGGCACCGTTCGTACGTCATAAAATTAATCCTTAGCCTGTGTTATAAAATATCTACTCCAGATTAAATATCATAAAAATCCGGTGTGCGTGTAATTTAATCCGCATAATATCTGCCGCAAAACCATACAATATTGAATGTTTCTAGTTAAGGTGTGGTAGAATAAAAATGAAACATATGAATTTAATATATTCTGTAAATCATAAAACTCAATCTAATTAGAAAGGCCATATATAGATGATTAATAATAAAACATCATACTTTATCTCTATTTTTTTCCCTAACAGAATACTAGTATCAGGTGCGATTAAGCTACTTTCCGTCATGTATTTATGTATATGATAAAATATTGGGACGAAATGACATATTTTGAGCGAAATCTATGTCAAATTCGATAACAAAATAAAAAAAGAAATTAATTTTGAGGTCATCTGCTTTGATATAAGAAGGAAGTTTTATTTAACGCTGGTATCGTAAGAAACTTATCATAAATCATGTATTTTTAGTTAAAGCATTCAGCTTAAAATACACCAAAGTCTTTGCTTGATCTAGATTTTTATATTAATTTGTTTAGTTTGAGAACTAATGTTTACATGGATTAAGGGTCTATCTAGATAAACAGTATGAAAGAGACCAATATAAATCACCTAGGATCAGTCTCCTATTTACATTCACCCTATATCTAGAACGGAAATTGATGTAATATATCAATCTACTTTTATGGTGAAATCTTAAATTATCATTGGCAAAAAACTTAGGTAAAGACAGCTGTAATAGTACAAATATTGCCCAGTTATTACGCGGTGTAATTACTGACCTGTCTAATAAAATGGAAAATCTGTCTTCTCTTTTCTCGTAGGCATTTTAGAATAAAAGGAAGCCTTCTATAGAATTGCTAGTGTTAATAAGAAAATTGGAGCGGAAAATGTAATGAAATAGGCCAACATCACAATGCTATTTTCTGCTTCAAGGGAATTTGTATAATAAGCCTAAATAATTCGTTTAGATGTCAAATGTTGATAAATGGTGGTTTTAAAACACTTTTTACGTAAAAATCTATTTGTTTTATATCAGTCATGACATTTTTGTCTTTGTCTTATCAGAGTCGTTCAATTTTCCTTCATCGTTTTATTGTGTATGACTTGCATTTTTTGTCTAATGAAAATATAATACGTTTTTGTGAATGAGAAGTTCAAGTACTAAGATAATAAGCTCACCTTATATGCATCCGGGATATTGAGCACCTCTCCAGTCTTTGCTACGTTTCCTATAATACCCGTACCCCAGGGTACTCGAATTTCCTCTTTCACATTAGATATTTCCTCAAGGGAGGTCTGGCCATTCACATCAAATAATTTAGCAACTAGGTATTTTTCATTTGTACCCTTGCCCTGCACTAGGAACATGGAGCATCTGTCAGCGTTCAACAGTGTACAACAGTTGTTTAATATCTTGAAACACAGATTCGTTACATCCAAATCATTGCATATATCCATTACTAACTCATACATGAGTTCCTTTTCGTCGAGCTCTTTAAGTTCACTTCGTGATCTGCTCTGCAACCGTCCTTGGGAAGGAGACTGAGCCGTCGGCGACGGACTTAGGAACGTAGGGACACCATCAACACTGCTTATCATAGGATTAAGAATTCCTCCTTTTTCAAACTCTTGTGCCGATATTTTGCGAACAGGTGTATTAGCCCCGGAATTACTTTTGGAATTATTTTTTGACCCCGCCGACGAATTACCGTCGGACTGAAGTAGTCCGGCGGTGTGTTTGATTGCGTGAGATATAAGCCATCCATCCACCATACTCCTTTTCGCTTTTCGCGCAAAATAATCATGCACAAAATCCGGGTGCTCGTCTAGCCATTTCTCTGTTTTATCGTACTCCTCCCTTGTGTCCGGGGGGAGGGGGTCCCTATCATGAGCCCCCTCCGCCATTCCAACATTTGTCCCTTTACTTTGGGATCTTTTAAAAAGAAGCCTCGGTGGATACGGTCTACGCGGCCTTCCGCGGTGCTGTGTAGGCTCCAGTTTGACGAACTACAACTAGTAAACCGTATTTCTATAGATAGTATATTTGAATAGGCAATTAACCGAAACGAAGCAAACAAAATCGATTTTAAATAGCTGTAAACTCAATATAGTACATTAGAATAAATCCCATACCTATAAATATGTTATGGACAATTATTTAAACCTGAAGGTTGTTAGTAATGTATTAAAACAATGTAAGCATTTTATACAGGTTTAAAACGTGATATATAACTTGTTATACGCTATAACATTACATGCACTTCCGTGATAAATACTACGATATTCGGAATAGTTTCAAATTTCTGTTTTGATGTAGATAATAAATCAGGTAAACTCCAGAATAGAATAACCGTGACGTGATTGATCTATCTTATTAAACACACATTATTTTTTATATAGTGAATGAACACTGGTAAGTTTTATCACGAGCGTGTTGAACTAAGTTATGAATACAAAACTACACTGTTTAAACATAATGCAAAATAGAGTATATTTATATATACCTGTGTTATTTTTCAGTGTGTGTCAAACAAAGGTTTTTACGAGTAATATCCTAGAAAAATCAATGAGCTCACACTGTGTTTCATTAACGTTTTTTTATTCGCCACAAAACTGATAAAACAAGATAACTTTGTGGTCTGTTAAATCCTCGTACATTTTACATTTACACACTGGCTAGGAACAATTCATTTATCAAATGAACAATTTATTTTCGCTGCATACAAACGCAGCGCATGAGTAAAAACGATTGCAAGATATAACGTTAATTTGTAATTTCCCCAAGTTAACACTCTAAACAGTTTGGATATTGTTACGAATGTTTTAGATCCTCTCGCTGCAGCTTTATAAACATCAATACATATAACCGTGAAGAATTCCTTCCTTTATCTCTATGAAATCTTTAATAACTCCCCTTCTAATACATCCCCTCTATCACTCTCACTCTCTCTGTAAGAGAATGTTATAGTGTAGCGATTGGAAAAAAAATCTCCAGGTCTAACCTTTTATACAGATAGAACACAGACGCGCATTCAGAACCGCTTGTCGATGAATGATAAATTAAAGATGAAAAATTAGTTTTATGCACAATCACCTTAATGCCTTAAGCATTTCGTTACGTCCTATCTGTTCCGAGATGTTTCATAGATACAATACATCTATTTATGCAGGCCTTTCTTTAAACTTTTCAACAATCAGATTGGATCTTAACATTTCATTATTGATACCTCTATATTGTGTTTGATGTTCAAATCCCCTTGTAAAACTGACATAGCTGTAGCACTAAGCAATAACACCCCTGAACCACTTCACAAATAAGTGTAATTGACGCACGAGATCCTTTACTATAAATTATGTACACTATAAATGCTTGTAAAATGCGGTAATAAAATTTAATTACAAGCAACCAGTATAATCAGATAGCTTTGATATTGTATAGCATTTATTTCATTTGACCTGTTTGACAATTTTTATTATTCAATCTGCATTTTTTGTTTAAACAGAACTCTTAATCTTCTAAATTTGTTTATTTTATGTTTCTTTTTTATAGCACTACACTACCGAGAATAAAAAGGACAGCAAGTTTCCATATCTTTGCATGTTTTCACGTTTGTTTTTTCGTTTGTTTGTTGTTTTTGTTGTTGTTGTCGTCTGTTTTTTGTGAAATATGCACTTGCTTTGCAAAACAGAAAAAAAAAGACTGGAAACTATCAGATATTGATATTTTAAACCAACATATTTAATCAAATATCAACGAAAATGTACTTTTTATACAGTTAGTCTTTTAATATTTATACCTATATGTTATTAAAACAGATTATTTGTGTCTTTACGACATATAATACTAATGTAAATATATATCAATATACTATAATATAAGTCAGCAATAATAAAGTAGAATAATGATAAAAAAGTATTGACGTCACTTGAAGTAACACGCTTTAATGTTATTAGTTTGTATACGACTTAAGAATTTCTATTATGTTATTCGTTGTAATGTTGTAAAACCGTCATCATATTTTCTAGAACTGCATTTATTCAAGTACCTGAGTGGAAAAACTGCATTTAGACAGTAAATCAAAATAAATAAATATACTCTTCTTTAGAAAAAGCAAGCATTTGTTTTATAATGCTGCAATGATGGTAGTTTATTAGATAGACAGAGTAACACCGGAAGTGAAATAATTTGTCATTGAATTAGGGAAACGTGGTATTTCGACTGACATACAAAATACTAAATCACTTCTTCTATACTAATGGAAGCAAATGATGAATTGAAATTGAAGCATTGGCAAATAAGAACTATTTCAAAACTGTTAAAATACACCAAAATAAAAGCTTTTGAAAAAATGATAGTATATCATTTTTAAGAAACTTAATGGGTCTTTAAATGTAAGAAGTGAATACTTAATTAAATGTTATGGTTTTGTACACATACGATAACTCTATTAATAAAAAAAGCTGTTGTATACAAATCATGCGTTTGTATCAAATGTATTACATTGTACATGAATCATGAGTCATTAATTGTCATACAATTCATTGATGTCACTGATGTCATACTGGTGTCATATTTTCTCACGCGATGTAATTGTAGTGAAACAGTTATTGTTATAAAAAACACGCAGTATGAATGCAACGGTCATATCCGTTAAAAAAATTACAGTAAAGCTGAGACATTTAATGTGAATTTGGTCTTCATTTCTTGAAATAATGATTATAAATAGTGCAAGTACGTGTACATTCGTATTGGAAACGCCACTACATTAATTGACAGTCGAGCTTTACGTCACGCGCATCACAGTTGACAGCAGTTGACTAAACATACTACATAAAAGTGAAAGTAATTTCATTTTTGATTTATTAACAACTTTCCTAATCTAAGTCATATCCCTAGCACTTATACGTTTTATTTATATTTTACGGAGTGCCTCCTGGAATGCATCAAGATTGAAATGAGATCCCATGAAATCATATACATTTTAATTTCTGTAGATGAGGAGTGATGAACAAAAGATTGTTATAAGAAATTCATTTTATTGGCACAAACAATGTATAGTAATTAGTTAACAGATCAAGAACGAACGAAAAAGCGAATGATTTACATGTAATATCACTGCTTGCCGACATTGCATTTAATATAAAATAATAATTATGTTCATCAGAGCCGGTTTTAATTTTTCTTTATTATTAAATAAATGGGAAAAAGAAAGAAGATAAATAAAATACTTTGATTTAAGCGAGCACAAGAAAAATAACAAATGTATATTAACGCAAACAGAATATACATAATAAAATTATATAGATATTTTACCCTGCTAGAATTTCGATCTATTTAGGAACTGTCAGTTTTTACTGATATTGACAATATAAAGTGGGGCCAAGCTGAGCTTAAGTTAGTGTTGGTCTGACTCGTTACAAGTGGTATATGAATGTAAATATTGCCGCTAAATAGTTATTAATTATCTTTGACTTATTTTAGAAACACACCCCAAAAATTCTTTCAGACTGTAATCTTTTAAAATCTGATAATGAACATCCTGGTTTGTCTATTTCACAATACTCGTTTGTTGTTAACTCATGTATAATAATGATAACTTAGCTTGGCATGAAAATTATAGATCTGGGATTCGTTATCCTTGTTCGCATATGTCTAAATTCCTTTGACTTGATTAAATCACTGTGTACTAGATGATTTAAGGTTACATTTGGTGTTAACATGCCAATTTTCGTGTCATTGTTCTAACTGACACAGGAAAGAGGCTATGACTTTCTGATCATGAAATGTATGTATATTTTACTGTATGAAAATAAAGTATCTATAAAATGGAGAAAAACGGAATCCTAAAGAATACCCTAAACCGGAAAATTGAACATGTTCCAGACCCGGTTTTATTGACACTGTTCATGGACGGTAATGGTAACTGCAAGTTGCCGTTCAAGATCCCTAGCATCGGCTTAAACTCTATTCAATATTTAAACATATGATGGTGAAAGTTTGTATTTAAAAATACCAATAGACGTGTTCAAACGGCGGTAATCATGGAATCTTCATTATTCGGTTTGTTCACTTTAAAAAATAGACTTGTCAAACCTTGATTTCAGCAGAAGTGTGATAACAGTGTTGTTAATATGATACAAATAGAGTTACATGGCAATGCATAACTGTTATATAAGTATTTAGTTATAATGATGATGCAATAGCCACAATAAACCAATACATGTACTTCTGAATAAACTTTTGATGAATTCAATAAAGCTTTTTTCACAAGTACCTGCTATGTTATAAAATGGATAGGATAATGAGCTGTACTGAGTTAGTTTGATTATATTTCATTGCACCAAAACAAATCTACATATAAATATATGGCAAGTGGTTTGGGCTACAAGTTTTAACAACATCAGCAACAGCCCTTCCCAAGCTGTATTGATTTGATAAAAGTAGAATTTAAAATGTGTATAATATGGTTAGCGGACACTATAATAACCATTTATAAAGGCATACAATTTCTTAAGAGCGGGCAACACTGACTGCATAAAAATGAAAGATTCACTAGTTCACTTATCCAAATAAATGTTCAATCCAACATAGGTTATCATATTTTAAGACATCGCACGTTATACTTTGAGAATCAAGGTCCCGTGCGATAAATGATTTTCACATTATACAAGGTAAAAGCTGATTAAGATATAAAAAAAAGCTGTTTTCGTTATTTCGCAAAAGCCTGAAAATTTTAGTGTTCTGACAATTTCCAAAACGACACTCACTGGCAATATAGCATGACCATCTTTCTCTTTTATATAATAACTGAAGTTTTAACGATTTGTAATTTCTTAAAATGGCTTTAAATTTTACATAAATGTTATAAAAGTTGAAATCTTAGCCATTGATAAACCTATAAACCAACATATGGTGTTGTACTTCACATCAGCGGAAATGCACATACATTTTTGTACCGATGCTTAATTTTGAGATTCATATGGGGTTCACCCCTGTAAGGTGAGCAAGTAACCGGCCAAAATCCATAGCTACACGGGTTTGCAATTTGTTCACAAGGCATATTGTACTTATTTCTGAGGGTGATTATGCCTTTGAAAAGAACTGTTGTTTCCCTAGCAAGAAATAATTTCTGTATTCTTTGCACTTTCCTTGATAAGAAATACTAACAATTATGTTTAGAGTAGCCCTTGGGGGTTACTAATGGTAACTATTGCTGGTTTCGTAATTGTTTATCACACAAAATGTAACATTTTTTTAAGGAGCAAGTAGTGCCACGGTAGAATATTATATTACACTGCCAATATACATTTAATGAGAGTGGTGAAGATGTAAGATGTGTCGCAGTGATAACACTTAACTATTATATTGAATGCATTTACATAGGCGTTAAAGGTTCTGATTGTGGTACAATTACAGGCTTTATGGAGAAAATAAAAAGGTGTTGAATCTGACACAGTTATAGACGATACAATTTAAGGACTATTTCAAACATGCTATAGGCTTCCAGATAATCTGCGGATGTTTCTAAATTCAAAATTTTGCCATTTCATGTTTAAATGTTGTATTCTGCTTGAGTCGGTGCTAGGGGGCTTGGACGGTAATTTGCACTATCCAGTGAACTGGCTCAATTAAGCCGAGCCTACAACATTTTCAATTTTGCCATGTTGGGCTTTCTTTAGGGATACTGCTTTTCTTTATTCCTATACCCACATCAAAAACGTTTATTGATAAATCATGTAATTTCGGACTAATATAAGAGGGATATCTATCACAGAAGATAGTAATGTGTCTATTATCTGGCCCAGTTTGCTATATAAGCTTCAGCAAATGACATCAGGCCACCATCCTTTCGCGACAATAAGCATTCGACGAAATACCTATAAAGGTTTACCAGTCGAATATGCCTAAAGATACTTAAATGTGTTAATGCTCCTCTGCTCTGTGACTTTTCTGTAAATAGACACATGTTGAAACTATTACGTAATGTACCAAAGGAAAGTATCTGTAAGGGAATATGACAAACAAACATCACACTGTTATTAAAAGCCGTCGGTGTTCAGGGAGATGATGTAATAACGAGATGGGGTAATGGTGTTACGTGCAAACATAATGACATGTCGAACAAAATACGGCAAC